CCCGAGATTCAGGTACATTTATTTCACCCTTATTCTTTATCATTGGTCATGATTGGTCCTTGAGTGGAGAAAGCCTTGCAAGTTAGTACGATGGGCGTACCAGAGGGGTACGCTGCGCGTACTCATGCGCTTATTTTGGACGCGGAGTCGCTAGGTACGTTGGGCGTACCCATAGTTACGCCGGGCGTACCCAGGCCAGATGCAAAACCCTAATAAGACTTGTGCACTATTTAAAGGATGTTAAGGCTCATTTCTCAGCCTCCATATCAGTGAGTAAAACCCTAAGAGAGAGCCTTCCATCGTCCTTAGTGAGTGTGTGTGTTCTTGGAGCTAATAGTGCCTTGGTGTGTTATTGAAGAAGGAAGAAAGGAGCTTGTGGAGACTAAAAGCTTGAAGTGTAAGTTTGGATCTGAGATCTACAGAGAAAGGAGTTGCATTTAGAGGTATAAAGTTCAAAACTTTCCTCTTCTTTTTGGTTGTTGTTGCATGTGCTATTTCTAGGGTTAAAAACCCTAAAGGTGTAGACTTTATGAGTGTAAGGTGCTCCATGGTTCGAGATTTGTCCCTTTTCAGTAGTATTTGTGGTCTAGATCCATAAAGTCCCCATCTTGGTCGCTGATATGAGGTCATGCTTGAGTTCTATGCTTTCTAGGGTTAGAGAATGAAATGTTTTGGATGCTAGTGACTTATTCAGCCATGCAAGGGCTTAAAGTCATCTACTTTATGGTTTTGGAGCCTTAGAAATGGTCACATCTAAAAGTTGGACGTGGGTCTTAACTGTTTAAGACCCCAAGAGCTGAAGGATTGAAATTGGGTATTACGCCGGGCGTAATTCCAGTACGCGTAGCGTAGGGGGTGGCGCACCCTGATCCTATGAAGTTATCGGTTACGCCCAGCGTACATGTTTGGTACGCGCAGCGTAACCCGAAGGGTTGACTTTTGTTGACTTTTACGGTTTGGTCAACTTTAGGGTATTTGAGCCATGTGAGGGGTAAAATGGTCTTTTACCCTCATGAGAGTATTAAGAGAAGGGATGGTCTAGCCTTGGGAAATGCGTTGATATCGAGTACTTATTTCATATGATTAGGCGGAGGCTAGGTCTTATCCCAAGGAGTCCGAGATTTACGAGTTACCGGGCTACACGAGGTGAGTCTTCTCACTATACGTTACCTAGAGTGGTATTTATGTGGACTGGAGGGTCTTATGTGTTATGTAGGAGATTATGTGAATCTATGTGCTATGTGATATTTGTATGCTATATGATTGTGTAAACCGGACCTGAAGGTCCAACGATACAGACCAGACCAGAGGGTCCAACGATTTAGACTGGGCCGGAGGGCCCAACGAACTACAGGACTGGAGGGTTCCACCGAGACACATCGACCGGAGGGTCGTACAGTAGCCTCGAGTGGCATATGTGTTGTATGTGGTATTTTGGGGAACTCACTAAGTTTTATGCTTACAGTTGTTGTGTTTTGTGTCTCAGGTACTAGCGAGGACCGTGGGAAGGCGCTGGCGTGACCCGTACACATTAGAGAAATGATTTGATTTCATGTGATCTTGGGAAATGTTATATTTTGATAACTATTGTTGAATACTTCAGAAAATGTTTTTGCTTAATTTTGGTTGTTGAAAAATGAAAATTTTGTTTTAAAAATCTCGTCGTTACATTTAGTGTTGTAAAAGCCATTTCCTTAAGCAAGTGAAGAACAAGGAAGCTGGTGGACTGAAGGAGGAGATATAGATCTGGAGTTATTGCTTCACTTCAGGCTTCTTGGAGGTATAAAGTTCATGGCTTTACTTAAGGGTGCATAGATCTAGTTTTGGAGTCATTTTGGGTCTCGATATTTGATCTTTATGATGGAATCTCGTTTTTGAGCCTAGGATTGCCACCCTCAAAGCTAAAAGTATTCCATAAGCAGTAAAGTTTCGAACTTGTTGGTCCACTCATAATCATGCATGAGAGCTAGCCCTCTTTATGAAAGTAGAGGATCATTGTTGGAGTTTGAGTTGTTTGGGGCCAAGTAAAGTCACCAAGTTAGTGACTTTACGGAATAAGACGTGGAAAAGAACCTGGATCCGAGTTTGTAGCCTGTGGAGTGAAGTAATAAGCACCTAATGGAAAAAAGGAATTAACAGGAGGATTACGGTGAGCGTACGTGCAGGTACGCCCAACATACTCGCCATCAGGTCAGTACGCCTAGCGTATATAGGGGTACGCCCCACGTACTCTGTCTGTATTGGGCTTTGTGTATTGGGCCATGCTTTGGATCATGCTTTGGGTCATTGGACTGGTGGGCCATCAGGAGTCAATTATGTTTGGCCCAATAGAGAAAATTCAGCCCAGTAATGGGCTACTAGTAGGCTTGGGAAGCTTACTTAGTTTTGGGCCTTAGTTGTGGGCTTTAGATATGGACCAAGTTGGACTAGGGGTAGAATGGTCATTTTACCCTAAGATGGATTAATGTATTGGACTAAGTGATATTTGGTGTTGTTAGCTCGGGAAGACGAAGGAGCAGCAATTCGGGAATTAGCACATAGCAGCTAGAGGGATATCAACAAGGGTTCAACAGTGCAAGGTGAGTCTCCTCATTGTGTAAATGGGTCTACGACCACAATGCCGACCCATGTAGTTTATGAGTAGGAAGATCCAGGGGTTAGCCCTAGGCACTATATGCTAGTAGGTGATTCCAGATTAAGGTCCGATGCCGGGCGGGTGCCCGAGGAATTTTGCATGATAATTTATACTTGTTGTCTGTGTGATACTTGTATGTGCTTGGTGGGGAGGTGGGTGTGGGCGAGGTCCCATACCCCACCATTAACAGAGTGTGGACGGGGTTCCATATCTCACTAGTAGCAGGACAGGGGTGAGGCCTTAGGACAGTAATGCATCAGGGTATGTTTAGTTTATGTGTTATGTGCTATGGTTATATGTTTGCATGTGTTTAGCAGGCGAGGCCCAGAGACAGGTGGGGCCTAAAGAAAAACAGGGCTCGAAGCTAGGCGGGGCCCGATGTAGCGGGCGAGGCCTGAGGTGGCAGGCGTGGCCCAGTGCTTGCAGTATGTGATTATGCATGGTATGTGGTAGGTTGGGGAACTTACTAAGCTTCATGCTTTTAGTTTTCACTTTTGGTTTTAGGTACTTCCGGTACCGGAGGGAAGAGCTCGGGGTGATAGCATGACATACATCAGCCTGAGATGTTTACTCTGATAAAATAAAATAATGTTTTAGACACGATACTCTGATGTGATATGTTTTGAATGAATTGTTGGTACTTATGGTTTTATTATTAAATTAAAATGAAGTTTTTGGGGTCGTGTTTTTTGGGGACGTTACATAATAACTATTTTTATACATCACACTTTGATGGGCTTGGGAATGAATGATTGGTGGTTTTGATTGGCTTAAAGGCATGAACTTTTATTTAGTATTATTGGGACTTTGCATAAACCCGTCTGGTGACCGATTCTCGGTTCAACTGTCGATTCAACCGAAAAAATTTCGTACATATGACGGTGGTATGTGTCGATCTTCGAGTTGTGTACACTCTTAAAATGTTCAATTTTCTTTGGAAATGTGTTTTTTTAAAACTGTTTAAGTAAAATCCAACCATACAAGTCCAATAAATCGGTTCAAACAATTTTTTACTGGTTCTTTACACATGTTTAACTCGGTTTTTGAAAAATCGTCCGGTTCGATCCGATCTAGAAATTGACACAAAACCGGTCCTTATTGAACCGCTCTTGTTTCCGGTTCATAGTCAAACCAGTTCAACCGACATGTTCGAATCGATTTTTAAAACATTATGTATTTTAACCTGAAAAATTGCCAGATAATATTAGAAAATGACCGTTTCACATATCAATTATAACATTTCACGGTTCGAAATGATCCGCAAAATGATCTAAAATGAATCTTGCTTCTTGCTTGTGTATATTTAGAAAAAAATCAATATATATAAATTTAAACTTTTTAAAATAACTCACAAAGTTTATCGGTTATTGCTAAATTGGAAAAAAATATATATACCAAACAGAAAGATTTTTCCTTACATATAGAGGAGACCACCATCGGCCTATTCACACCCCAAGCCCATTTCACAGGCTATACCGGCCCTTTTCATAGTTGACTTGATCAATTTTTTTTTTTTTTTTTTTTTTTTTTTTTTTTTTTTTTGTTTGTTTTGTGTGTGTGTAAAATCTAAACAGAACTCAGAATATTACATTGTTTTTGGAATGATAGCGTACTGTTTTCTAATAAGAAAAATATCACGATTTTGTATAAAATTTAAATTACATTTTCAATATTTTATTCAAAATACCACCACTTTATTATTATTTTCCTAATGGCTAATGATGTTTTTGACGTTTTTATTTTTTTGTTTGCATTATTGTAGAGTTACTTATTGTGGACACAATTGAAGTCACTGCAAATAATGTTATTATGATCCGAAGCTATTATTTTAAGTTTTTAACATATGTATAATATAAACAATCATATTAATAAACCAAAAATCGATCCAAAACTACTGATGCAATTTTATTTTATACATTTAATTCTAGACATCAAGTTATTTTCTTGTTATTTCATGTTAAACAATCCAAATTGATAACTTTTTAATACGTTTTTCAAAAGAACCAAATAAAATTGTTACTTTCTAACTAAAAAAAATATAATGTTTTTGTAAAATTATTGTAGCTTGGTTGTTGAACTAATTCTTCAAAATTGAGCATAAAATAAGGAATTCCTCAATAACAAAAGCACGACAATGACACTATGTAAATCCAAATATACATATTTGTTCTGTTTAATTAATTATGTCATTTATCATCATTTCATTTTGTTAATATATGTATATAATTGACAAAGAAAAAAAATAATGTTATTTATTTTCATCAACTAATTTCTTGAAATTTATTTAATTTGTTACTATGTTTTTAATAATAAGTTTAAATCATAGATATATAAATAGAGGAAATAAATAATAATTTGAAGAAAACAATTTTCAAAGAAAGCAACTCTCCCTAAACCCCAAATGGTGTTTGCTTGTAGCCACGAAACACCAACCACAATCATGTAACGCATACGGCGTACAATAGCACTCAAGTACGCAAATTGCTTAATATACGCCACAATCCTGTTACGACAAATCCTCCTCGCTTCACTGCCACTTGCTTCATTCTCTCTCTACAATCAAAGACTTATGGAGTTTCTAATCAATTAAATTCCCAAATTTTTTCAAACCCTAGCAGAAATTGACAATGGCTTCGATTCATGTATTGAAATCCGGTTTATATCCGTTTTCAGCTTCGCAATCTTATTCTCGTAGGAAAGAACGGTTAATTTGTTGTGATGGCAGAAGAATTATCAAGCTCAGGTCAAAATTATCGATTAACAGAAGGTTTACGATTTCCTGCAAGGTTCAAGACTCTGAAGATAACCAAAACAAAGGTATAGCTTCCCTCCTCACATATATTTACTTATTAGGTTGAAATCAATCGCATGATTAGATCAACAAGTGTAACGGAGTATCTAATTTCCTGTAATGTATAGTTGTGTGCTCCTTTTTCGATATTCTATCAGACGATGAACTTTTAGCGGTTTCACTTTCCATATAACACCTTGAAAATGTTCTCTGTTGAATTAAATTGTTCGGACTGAGACATAAGAGATCCATTTTTGTGTTTAATTAACATCTATTTGGTGTCTGATGGAGTAGGGTTGTAGTGGGCCTGTAACTTCTGGTTATTGACTCACTCTTACTCAGATTCTTCGAGGATCATGATTATCCAATAGTGAAGCATATTAATGGCGTTAAATTGAAATTCGTAATCCATTAGAGTTCTGTACAACTGTACTTTATCCTTGAAGTATATCACTCCATATTTAATAGTGTAAACTGTAAACTGTTCAACATAATTGTCTGATCTTTTCATTGTCAACAGGTGAAGAACCTACGGAGTCTTTGTTTATGAAAGAACTGAAGCGACGTGGTATGACTCCAACTTCGTTATTAGAGGAAAGTCGGAGCACTTCAAAAGATGAGAATTTTATATACAAAGAAGAAGATGGAGGTTTTTCAAATAGAAATGCTGTGTCAACAGATCTTGAGAAAAGTCTATCTAATCAAAGGGAAAGATCTATGGCTTTGAACAGTGAAGGCCTTGAGGTTCAAAGATTCCTACCTTCTTTAACTTCTTTATGAAATAGTTTTTGTTCAAAAAAAAAAAAAAAAAAAAAAATCCTTTTCATAAGTCCTCATTCTTTTTAATTATCATAGTCTTTGTGTTATGTATGTATATCAGGGTTTGATTCCACGAGCTAAACTCTTGCTAACCCTTGGAGGAACATACTTCTTGGCATTTTGGCCTCTGATTCTTGTAACTGTGGCATCTTTCTCTGCTGTTTACATTGTAAGCTTTCTGATCTTTATATTTATAAGCTTTTTAATATATTTGTTCTTTTTTTTTTTTTTAATCAATG